GGCTGCAGATGGAGCAGAGCAGCTTGGAGAGGAACTGGCAGCACACCCAGACAGAGACAAAAGCGAGAGGTGCCAGAGCCATCTGCAGTGGAAAACAACCAAGTGGCTCCTTGGGAGGCAGCTGGTGGATGAAGGTGCAGGGAATTGTTCCTCCCTTCTGTCCCCACCACGCTGCATTCAGACGTGCTCAGCCCTGCTCCCCTCAGCTCTGCCAGGGAGCACAGTCAGCACCAGGGCAGGGCTTTTCCACAGGCTGCATTTGGCTTTTTCTGCTTACTTAGTTTTGTGAAACTTGCTTTTTTTCTCACTTGCTGAGTACTTGGCAGTCGGTATTTACTTGTTTCCTTCATTGATTTTTTTTTTTTTTAAATTACTCAGCATCATCTTCTTTCTCCTTGCAAGACTCCTCAGTCAGCAAATCATCCCGTGCCACTGCACGTGCTGTGTGTGCTAAATATACAGTGGGCATCTCAGGCAGGGTAGGGGCTCCCAGAGCCTGTTCCTGGCCCTGGATTTTGGGGCTCCTGGGCCAGGCAGGGCCATGAGGGCTGAGGGGCTCTCTTAGGTCTTGGCAGATCAAAGCCCTGTCCCCTTGCACGGTCATTCCTGAGCTGTCCCAGGACACAGCTGAGGGAAAGACAAACTGTGCTTGCTCCAGTGCAGCTGAGCCTGTTGCCTCATCCTGGCCTTGCCTCAGCAAGGGAGAATTTAGTGGAGCTAAATTTAGCAGCAGTAGATTTGATCCAGCTGTGCAAACGTTGGCCATTGCTCGCGTGGCCTTGGGATGCCTGGAGCAGCTGAGCCCTCAGAGAGCCCTGGAAAATCCCCTGGCCAGGAGTGAGGCACCCTCAGTGCTCCGCCAGCTCCCCTGGCACTCCATGCATGGCCCCTCAGGTGAAGCCACCCTGCACCTCAGCACCGTCTTAAAAAGACAAGATTTTACCTGGGCAGATTGTCCATCCAAGGACTGGGGATAATGAATAGGAAAAGTAACATTTCAGGAATTAATGAGTTTTATTAATTGAGTTTGTCCTGTACATTAACAGCATTCCAGCATATCCAAAATCTTGATGAGACCAGAATACTCTCTTTATAAAGTTAATTAACATCTCATAAAGATCATTAATGCCATATGATATTTAAGTCAGAACTCAAAGCTGGGATCTGATTACAAATCTGGGGGAAATTACATTTTCGGTCACACATGGTAGATGTGATCTTCAGCTCCCATCAGACCAAGACACACAATTTTCCCCTTCTCTCACTTCAGTATGACAGTTACAGTTTTTTTAGGTTTTGAAAGATTAATTTATAATTGGTTTAAAATAGAATAAGGAATTTGGCCATGGTAATGCATGTGTTTACCTAAGTGTGGCAATAAAATGCAGTGACAGTCCTGTGTGCCAGCAGAGCTCTGTTGGGAAGGCTCAGGGATGGAGACTGAAGGAGCATCAGCAGCAGTGGAGAGGAGATGAGGCAGGGGGTTTGTCATGGGAGATTCTGAAGGAGCTGGAAATGCTCTGGAGGGGAAAAGGAGGCTGCAAAGATGACACTGCTGGGCCTGCTGGTATGGAGTCTGTTCTTGGAGCTCCAGGAGAGCTTGTGCTCAGCTGGATGTATTCTACAGGCAGAATATTAAAGTGTGCAAGGACTGGGAGAATGTCACTCTGAAGGAGAAAGCCTCTGGAATATCAAGGCTTGGAGGATTCTTTGCGTTTTTGTGTAAAGACAGAACAGCCTCTCCTCATTCTGGTCTGTGTTCAAAGGAAGGGATGTGCTCAACTTATCACTGAGGTTTGCTAATGACAAATCTTAGCAAGTGCCAGCTCTGCTGTAAGAACAGGTTGGGCTTCTGGGAGATACATGAAATTAAAGGAGATTGTGTCTCCCAGAAGCTGATAACCCAGTGCACAGTGTGTAAACACAAACACTGGGAGATGATAAAGCACTCACAAATAACTCTGCAGGTTGAGACTGGCGGAAATGAAGCTCAGAGGGGAGTTATTTAAAGTAGCAGCCAGGTCCATTCAGCCTCCCAGCAGAGCTGTACATGGTGAATATTGCTGGGCAAGGGAAATGCAGAGGGCAGAGGGTGGAGCCACGTTCCTGGTGGTCAGGACCAGCCTGAGGGGAGGAGGAGGTGGCAGCCTGGGGAGTGTCTGTGTGTGAGGAGCAGCTGCAGGGAGCTGTTGGCTTTGGTGCCAGGGAAGTCTGACATGGGGGCACAGGAAGGAGATGTGGTGCCTGTCATTCCATGCCAGACAGTGGTGCCTCCATGGGCTCAGCAGGATTGAGTTTCCCTGGGACAGCAGGAGTGTGATGAGGAATGAGGGGCACTTGCACCACTGGAAATGTCACTGCTGTGAGTGTGTTTCTCAAACCCTGGCTATGAACTCACAGTGGCCAGAGAAAGTCACAAAAATACTGCAGAAAATCCCTTGACCTGGAAGCATGAGAGGTGAGAGGAGGGCTCAGCAGCACTTCCAGCCATGTCAGGGTGGGAATCCCCCCTGGTTCTGCCCAGCTGGGGTGGGTGCTGTGAGCTCGGGGTGCCCCAGCTGGGCCATGAGCGGGCACAGGCTGTGCCATGGCCAGGAGGGGCTCTGCAGACCTGTCCCCATGGTCTTCACAGCAAGGGCTCCAGGAGCCTCAGGACACCAAGGGGGAAGGTGGGAAAGCTGGCTTTTTGAACCAGTGTTCTGCTGGGAACAAGGAATGGGTTGTTACTGTCACAGGCTTTGGGCTGAGCCTGGAGGAATGCCAAGGAACCACTCAGAGTTCCAATTTATCTTTAGTTCATCTGAGGATTTGCACTCCCTCGGTTGTGGAACTTGGTGGTTTAAAGCATCACATGCATGAGGCCCATTATCTAGTGTTTTCTGGTGTGGAAGAGGAGAAGTAATTGGAGTTTGCTTCTATGATTATTTCTGTGACATACAGAGTTGTCCTGTTTTTCCACCAGCCTTAGGGGCTGTTGCTTCATGCTTGGGTAAAGCTGTTCACTTAAAAAAAAAATAAAATCCAGTAGGATCTTCCCTAAGCCCCCTCTCTCCCCAGCCACACTCTGCAGTGTGCTGGTCAAGACATAATCCTGTTCCTTTCCCTGTAGGTGACGACTTCATCAGGAAGCAAATGCTTCTCGTGTCGTTCGGCGGCGGAGCGAGATAAATGGATGGAGAACCTGCGGCGTGCCGTGCACCCCAACAAGGTAAGGCTGGCAGCAGCTGCCTCTGCTCTGCTTCAGCTCCCAGTTACTGCATTCTATAGCCCAGTGCATGGGAGCAGCAGGGGATTATTGTCATTGGAGTGAGTGAGTGGAGCTCGGGGTCAGCCTTTTTCCATATTGCTTTCTTCCACAATTATATTTACAGACAAGCGCCAGTTATTCCTTCCCCTCTTTTCTCAGCACATGCTGCCTCAGCTCTTGCTAAGAATTGATCAGATCAGATGAATCTTCAGTGCTGCTGTTACTGATGGTCCTTGCCACTTCCATAGGGCTGTCACCTCCCAGCAGCCTTGGGACAGATGTCAGGGAGCTGCCAGCAGCCACCAGGCTGAAGAGTGAGGAGTTCACGTGTCAGCTCCTGGCACAGCTCCTGCCTCAGTGCTGGGGAGCTCAGGTGTCCATTTGCAGAGGTGGCAGTGGAATGCAGCTTTCCCTTCTGCAGCCAGTTGAGGTGCAAAGTCTTCTCCTGGGGTTTACAGGAACAAATCCTTCTCTTCACTAGAGCACAGGGACACCCAATATGCATTTTTATGGCCCACTAAGACTAAATACATCCTAAAATAAAATGTACAGCTGCTTCTTCCCTGCTGTGCTGGAGTTGGCTGCAAAGATTGGTCAGGATTAATGCAGGATTCCACAGCTGATGATTTCAACCAAGTCTTCTTCTGCTGGTCAGAGAAACACAAATGATGGGATCCTGTGAACTCCTGGCTGTGCACACTGATTCAGTCCAGGCCTGCTGGGTTCTGAAGGGCCCTCAGTCTCAGGGTTTGTTGTTCCCAGCACAGTGCCAAAAGTCAGAATAAAAGATTTCCTGTAACATCAGTGTGGGCAGTGGAGGGGAGAGGTGGCCTCCTGCCTCTGGCAGCATGTTGCTCTAGGGAAGTTCAGTTGCTCCAGGACTTTCCCAGGGCTTTTCCTGGTGATCCTGACCTGAGGGGGCTGTGTAAGGTTTGTGTGGTCACACTTAGCATGAGAGAACTGCTGGGAATGCAGGCTGGGGCTGGGCTGTCACTGTGGCCGCAAGGTGCAGTGTGGAGTGGAAATCCATTTGGAAGTGTTTCCATCATCTCAAAACCTGCAGTAACTGATGGCTGAACTTTCCATCTTTGTTTGAGTTCACAGACAATGCACTCTCAGTGTCCAGCTTGATATTTCTGTCAGGAATTCAGTGTTCTTGTGCAGTTCCTGTGTGTACTTCCTGAACCTACAGTACCCCATTGTGGACTTGCAGCAGAAATGTTCCTGCCCAGACTCCTGGGCTGAGCAGAGTAAGCCGTGGCTGCTGCTTCAGCGAGGGGTTTCCAAACTAACCAAGGTTTGCAGAATCCCAGCAGTGCTGCAGCTGCCAGTGCTTTATCTTTGGAGTCACTCCTGCAGCAAATACCCCTGGATGTTCTTCCAGGATGAGCTCAGCATCACGAGGGAGCTCTGAAAGATCCACAGTATTCTTGGCTCTGTTACTGTTTAAAGATACCCAAGGCAGATTTCTGTCTCTGAATTGTCTTGATTCTCCCATGGGATGCCCTCTCCCATGATTCCTCTCAGTGTTTAACTTGGGTGCTCTGGACTTCTGCCCTAAAATACGGTGAGGTTTTACAAACAGCTTTTCCCCTGCCTTTGGTGGTGGCATTCCCAGGTGGATGAGGCGATCCCTGGGTGTGCATTCAGGTCCCTTGTGTTGCTGTGTTACAGGAAATATCATGAACTCAGTCTATACTGAGAAAAGAGGAGGCTGTGAGATACCTGTAACAGCTTCTGCTTTGCACAATCCATTCAGGACCAGTGAGGTTCTTTCAGATTCTTCAGAGGCCCTCTTGGCAGGGAATGGGAAATGGTACATTTATGATTTGGAGGGGTTTTATCTTCCTTGTTCCTTATATTAATTGGCACCAACAGACATGGAGAGCACGATGATATTTTGGAAAATTAACATAAGTAGTGTTATTATGCAAATTCTTGAGAGCCAGTATTTCCTTAAAATAAAGTGTAATTAAGCCTCCGCTCATTTAGCACATCCGAAATAATTAATTCATATCTCCAGTTTTGTTGTTGTTGGCTTTGTGGGGTTTTTTATTGACCTTTTTTTCTTTGCATCTTTTTTTCAGGACAACAGCAGAAGGGTAGAGAATATGTTAAAGTTATGGATTATTGAAGCCAAGGACCTGCCAGCTAAGAAAAAGTACCTGTGTGAATTATGCCTGGATGACGTTCTTTATGCACGAACTACCTGTAAATTGAAAACTGATAATGTCTTTTGGGGGGAGCACTTTGAATTTAATAACCTCCCATCGCTCAAAAACATTACTGTGCACTTATACAAAGAGACTGACAAGAAGAAGAAGAAGGACAAGACCAACTTCATCGGGCAGGTGAACATCCCTGTGAGCTCGGTGACGGGCCGGCAGTTTGTGGAGAAATGGTACCCAGTGGTGAGCCCCAACCCCGGCAAGGGCAAGGCCCCAGGGCCCATGATCCGCATCAAATCCCGCTACCAGAGCATGAGCATCCTCCCCATGGAGATGTACAAGGAGTTTGCTGAGTACATCACCAACAACTACATGGTGCTGTGCTCGGTGCTGGAGCCCTCGCTGAGCGTCAAGAACAAGGAGGAGATGGCGTCAGCGCTGGTGCACATCCTGCAGAGCACGGGCAAGGCCAAGGTAGGACCCTCTGCCACCTGTGGTGTCCCTTCTGCCACCTGTGGTGTCCCTTCTGCCACCTGCGGTGTCCCCTCTGGCACTGTCAGAGCAGACTCTGGGGTGGGGTTGGGAAAACTCCTCAGTTGGGCTTTGGGCCATCGTTAATGGGCTCTGTTTTCCTTTTGATTGCAAACCAGTTGGTAGCACACACAGCACGAGTTGCTTAATTAGCAGAGAGGTTGGTGGGACCACGAGACACCAACTGAGCCACTTTGCTTCACTCTTCTCCTTCTGGAGGCTCAGGGGCCAGGCTCTCTCTGTATAAACAAGCACAGTTGTGAAAGTAAGCAAGAAGGCAATTTTCCAGGCTGGAATGTAAGCAGTGCTGGCCTGAGCTGTGCAGCCTGTGTGTGCTGGGTGTTCTGGGTTCCATGCTCTGCTCCCTCTGTGCTGAGCACCCTGCACGGTGCAACTGAACAGGAGGGAGCAGCCTCTCCAGAATTCCAGGCCAAAGTGCCTGCAGGCATGTTTGTCTCTGCATCTGCTCTTGGTCTTCTGCCCTACTGCTTTTGGAAGTGAGTCCAGGGGTGCTCCCACAGCAGTGCTCATTGGAGGTTGATGGCACCACCTTACACATGGTGGAAGTTCAGCCTTTGTGGATCACTTTGAGCTCCTTCCTGGCTGGGAGTGCTCTGCCAGGTCTGGGGAAGAAGCAGGCCAGGAGGAGGCAGAGAGTGGGAGTTACTGCTGGCTGTGAGCTGTGAGGGAGCAGGCAGGGTGGGCAGAGCTGGGATGCCCAGCACACGGGGCAGGGAGTGACCCCACTGCAGGGCATCCTCCATCCCTGTGGCCTGGCACAGCCACAGGGGGCAGTGCCCATGTTGGGGCTGCAGGAGTTAAAGCATCACTGTGACCACCTCTCTGCACTGTGCAGGGGAGAGCTGGGGAAGGGCAGGATGTCCAGAGCTTTCTCATGCTGAGGAGCCGTGGTGAGTCCTCACCTGAGGGGCAGTCACAGGGCTCTGCTTCCTTGGCAGCTGCCGGGTCTGTGGATTAGGCTGAGTTACCATCTGTCAGACAGAGAAGTGCCTTGGCTTCCTGATCTGGTTCAAGGCAGGCAAAGCTCGCTGAGAGGATTGGGAGCTGGGGGCCTGCTGCTGCAGCAGCAGAGAAAATAGCCCTGCTAAAGCCTCCTGATCCCAGGAGTGCAGGGAGGGACCTGTGGGGAGCAAGGCTGTGGCTGCACAAGAGCTGAGCTTGGTGTCTCTGCTCAGGGCTCCGGAGCTGCCAGCCCGTGGTTCCTGGGCACAGCCCTGCCTTGTGCTGGCACCAGGAGCTCTGCTGCCCCTCACTGTGGCTCCTGCAGCTCTAATGCCAGAGCTTTGTGGGACTAACACTGCCATGCAAGACCTTGTCCACAGTTTACACGGTTCTTGCAAAAGGCTTCAAGTGTCATCCCAGTCTTAATCACCATGGATCATGTGTGGGCATGGCTGAGAGTGGCTGTCACTGCTCCAACCTTTTTCCTCTGCCTCTCAGTGCTGGAGAGGCTCCAGAGGGAGCAAGTGTGTTTCCAGACATGTGTCTGCATCAGTGCTCGAGATCCCAGAGGCTTTACACAGGGGACACGGCAAACAGTAAACAGACTTGATGACTTTTCCCCTAAAATGGAGCTTCTGCTTTCGCTGCCTGTCATCTGCCATCAGCATTAGCGCCGGGTTTGGGGAGCTGTCAGAGCAACAGGAGTTACTGGAGCATGGGAACCAGGTGCTGCAGCCTGGGCTGGAATAGCAGGGAGAGGGAAAAGCAGCAGAAAGGTAGAAAAATAATGAATGAGAGAAGAAAGCACGCCCTCAGCCTGCCTGGGGGATGTGAGTGCACCCCAGTACCCCTCAGGAGAGCTCCCGGGGCTGCCCCAGCACCCTGACCCCTGAGGGAGGGACAGCAGGCAGGGACCCCCCTCCTCCAGCCTCTGTCTCCTGGTGACTCTGGGCAATTGCCCGGGCTGGGGGTGGTTCCTCATCCTTGTGCATCACCAGGAGCCTTCCCAGTGAGCCCTCAAACCCCCTGCCCGCGGCCGTGCCATCGGCAGCCGCTGGTTGGTGTCTCTGATACAGGGGTTCTGTGGCTCCTGGCTGCTGTCCTGGCTGAAGCAGCAATGCCGGACTGTGACACAAGTGTCCAGCAGATTATCTTGGGAGACTCGTTAGCAGCTAATTGCTGTTGGGCTGTTTCGGGCCCTGTTTTCCTGCAGCGATTTGCTGTAAATAGGGGGTAATCCCTTAATGAGGCCGGGATGGGGCCGAGGTGTGTGATGGTGCCACGTGCCAGCCACAGCCAGCTCCCTCCAGCCACCCCTGTCCCTTCCCACGGCCACCGAGGGACCCCTGCCCGCCAGGTGTGGTTACCTGGAGCTGCTAAACCTGCCAGGGGTCAGGAACACCTGGGGCTGCAGGTGGAAGGGGCACAAGGGCTGTAGCTGAATTTTTTCCCTAAATCTCTGCTTCTTGCTGGGCTGTAGCTGTATCACAGTAGCTTAAAAAGGGGAGCATGAAAGGAGAGTCCCCTCTGGAGTCAAAGTCCGTGCTTCCCTTGATCTCTGTGTGGGAAAGGGAAGAACTTCATGCCTGCAGTGCCGGGTTGGTGTGCACGGGGCAGCCTGGAAAGCCCTGAGCAGCTGCCAGGGCAGTGGGTGGAGGGGAGGGGAAGAGGTTTTGATAAGGTTCTGATAAGGTTCTGATAAGGTTCTGAGTGCAGCCACTCAGGGGGGAGGGAGCTGCCCCAGCCCGCTGGAAAATCTGACAGGCATCCATCAGCTCTTGGCACACACAGATGTCCCCTTTCTCTTATGGCAGGAAAGGCTGAAAGAGGATATTTGGTGGTTGAAGCAGAGATGGGGCCTCTCGGCTCAGTCCTTCACTTGTTACCTGTGTTCACAACCTTCCTGGTGAGAGCACTGATGCAGTGTTTGTTCCCTGGAAAGATGTTGAGATGCCCAGCAGTTTTCACGTTCTGCAGCTTTCAGACAAAAAGTCATAAAGCAGTTCTGCTGCCAGGGTTGGAGTTAGCAGGAGTGCTCAGTTCTGCCTTACAGGGCTTGGTGTGGCCCCTGTGATGTGGTTGTGGGTAGGTGACTGCATCCTTCCCAAAGGACTTCGGATGCTTCCGGAATATTTCCATGCTTAGATTTGTTTCAGGGCTGTCTTAGAGCTCCCAGAGCTCAGTTCATGACCATAAATATACAAAAAACTTCTCTTGTCCAGAGCACTGGTAGATCAAACCCAGCATTAGACAAAGCTCTAACTAACCAGCTGCTCACTGGAAATAAATATTTATGGTGCTGGGAATGGAGTGAGGAATAAACATGTGTCCCTGTTTGTTTGTGCTGCGAGGATGTGCCTCAGCTGAGCAGATGGAGCTGCTCCCCCCGTGTGCATCTGCTGGAACCCCACGTTCTGGGCTGGGTCAGGGCTCTGGGACCTGAACTCCACACAGGGACGTGAGAGGTCACTCAGGGTGTTTGTGTTCCTGTTGTATCCCTCAGGTTTGCTTATTTCCCTGAGCAAGGTGATGGACATGGATTGCTGTGAGTTAACCCTCACATTGCCATTCACCTTTTCCCAAGGAGAATTAGAAAAGGCCAAAAGTGCCATGGGATGAGTTCCGGGGCTGTTTCCTGGCAGAGAAGTGTCTGGAGCAGATCCTCAGAGGAGCTGTGTGATGGAAGAGTCGAGAACTTGGGGCTGGGCTCCTTGGTTTCACAGCATCTGGCCAGGACCAGGACGCAGCTGCTGCCCCTCTGTGCTCTCCTTTCCCTCCTGCTCAGCCTCCTGCACTGCAGCTCCCTCCCCTGGGTGTGTCCCAGTGCTCCTGCACCTGAAACCTGCAGCCCTACCGGCCGCTGCTGCTTTTCACCTTTGCATAAGGGCCCAGCTGGACTCTGAGCTAGTCTTTGAAATAAGCAATAATCTTATTACCTTTATCAATTCAATCCTCTTAAGGTTAAGTCAATCCTATTAATCAGGCTTGTGATTTGGAGAACCTTATTATTTCCGAGTCAATCTGCCCATCAGTCAGTGCCAACAGCAGGGTGATGAGCTCCATCCCAGGGCTGTGAGCACCCCGGGCAGTGCAGGGCCCTGGGGCCCCTCAGCCCCTGGCACCCCCCCTGGCACCCCGTGTGCTCCAGCTCTGGACACATCCCGGAGAGCTGGGCTGGCAAAGGGCAGAATCCTTCCTGCATTTGGACAGGACACGTCCTACAAGACTTGTGTTGCTTGTTGGCTCCCTGGGCCGTGCTCCTGCTCCCACCACAGCCCTGCCAGGGAGGAGCTGCCTTGGAATAGCACAGGGTGGTTTATGTGCAAAGTGGAGACCAGTGCAGCCTTGTGCTGTCATGCTCTGAATTTATTTATTTATGAATTGCTCTTCTCTATCAGCATATGTGCAGCGACTGGGGTCGCACAGGTTCAGATCCGTCCAGTCTGAAGCAAAAAGCCTTAAAATAAACATGGGAACAAGCCTGAAGAACACTGTCACAGCCCTTAATTTTGACTGTAGACCTCTTCCTTCCCCTCTCGACTCTGATGTAATGAAATAAAGCATCTTATTTTCTTCCATTGCCAGGGGCCCTAACTGAAAACAACCCCCTGCTGATCTCTGCTGCTCAGAAACAGGGAGTTTTATTGGCTTTAGTTATTGCATTTTATTCAGGACCTTGTATGTGGGTGAGTGAGGCCCCCGGAGGGATTCCACAAGTATTTGCATTCCATTTGTGTCTTCTGAGTGCTGGCTGCTGGAGCACTTAGGGCAGAGAGAGCAAAGTGTGATCCAGAGCCGGTGTGGCTTTTGCGTGGAGGGAAGAAGTGAAGGTGTGGCCAGTGGCTGCCAGGGTGGCAGCCATGGGAAGGGACCCTTGCCAGGGCTCATGGACTGCCCAGAGCTGTCCCTGCAGAGGAGCTCACCCAGGGGTGCTGCCTGGGGCAATTCTGACCCCCACACTTGCCAGGGCAGCTCCTGCAGCCTGGCTGGATGGCTCTGCAGCCCAGAGCTGCAGGGACAGGGAGGATCCTGAGCCCTGGGATGCTGCTGGCTCTCCTGGCTGCCCCCTCCTTCCCTGCTCACTTGCAAGGCCACATTCTGCAGTGTTACTGCTCAGCTTTGGGTGCTGTGCCATAATGGAATTCTCTGGGACTTCAGCAGCTTTCCTTTCCACTTTGGAGACAAGGGGTCCTTTTCCCAGCTGCTGAGCTGCAGATGCTCCACAGGGAATAAAAACAGCAGCAGAGATTTCCAGGGGATCTTTTCTGGCTTTGTGATGAGTCCTGCCATGGAATCTTGCCTTGTTTTATATTCTACTGAATTGTGTAGATCAGCCCAAGTCACCCAAATTCACATTAACTGTGGCTCGCACTTGGCCCTGGGTTTGCAGGACTCAGCAGGCAGTGCTCAGCTGACAAGAGGGGAAAAGCAAACACTTGGCTAAGAGACGCTGTAAAACTCAGTGTTCCTGAGATAATTAGTATGTTGGGAAAGTGACAGGAAAGAGAATCAAGCAAAGCCAAGGTCAGCGGCTGCTAATTAAGAATCAGCACCTTGTGTCAGCCTGAGCGGTGGCTTGGAATTGAAACGTACCCTGGGAGAGCCCCGGGAAGATAAAGGTGATAGAGTTACCCAGATAGCAGCTAACGGGATTTGAGCAGGGTTTAAAGTTTCATTCCAGCTTGGCTGATAAAAAGGGCAAAATGAGAGAAAATAGCAGAGGGAGGCACGTGCTTTGCTTCCAGGAGGGATTTTTGCCTCTGCAGCTGCCGGAGCACTGCAGACGTAGCAGGATTTGAGGAAGGGCATCTTCTGGCTAAAGAAATAATGGAAGTGTTTGGGTTTTTTTTTAGCCCAAAGCTCCTCCTCTGGCTTTTTTGGAGGGTCTTGGGGAAGGTCAGGGCAGTGTGTTGGTGCCAGTCAGAGTGTTGTGGAAGGTGGGAGCAGTGGATCCTTGGATACTGCAGGGATGTCTCATCCCCTCCTTGTGCTCTGACACAGGGCTGTGCCTGCCTGCCCCAGGGTTTGCCTTGGCCTGGGACAGGAGCACAGTGATGGAGGGTCTATGGATTAAATTATTTGGGCCTCCTGGATTCAGGGAAAGCTGTTTGTTGAACCTTGATTAAACTTTCAATGCTGAGATGTCCATGTGAAAAATGAAACAGAGCAAGTTGTATCTGGTGCAAAGCTCCCATCCAGACACTGGCAGGGAGTAGGACCTGATGTCCCCTCTCCCCAGTGTGGGTTGGAGCAGGCTGGACCATGGCAGCTCTGCTGTGCCTGGGGACATCAGGGACAGGACCTGGGACACTGTGGCAGCCTGGGGTGCTCCTGCTGGCCCTGCCAGGAACGGGCTGTGACCCTCAGGGGAAGTGAAGAATTTCTTAGGGAAGGTTATTACTGAGCAGGTGATGCTGTTTTAATGGAAAGGAGGTGAAGAAGGTGCCCTTGGTTGTGGAGGTGAATGAATGTGTGTGATCGTTTCTCTGTCTCCTGCACGGGAGGCAGTCAGAGGGTTTAATGTGGGTGATTTGCACAGTGCCAGTGGCCTCTGTCCGTGGTCACTCGGGTGAGGGGTGACACCTCAGCACCTGTGCAGTGAGGAGGAGCCAGGCAGAGCTGCTCTGTCCATGAGCAGTGCAGGGAGCAGGGATCAGCATTAGCAGGTGCCTGGCATCCCTCCTGGATCGGGCCTGGCTGCAGCACACTCACATCAGTGCGTGCCCAGGAGCCCCTGAGCCCTGCTCGGTGAATGCTGTGGCTGAAGCAGATCTGGAGCTCACTCTGAAATGCTGATTTTCCTCTGCAATTGCAGTTGAGGCCAGACTGATGCAGGGGCAGCTGTCAGAGGCTGCTCCTGCTCATCCCTTCCACTGCTCTGTAGCACAGGGCATTATCACATCCCATGGATTTGGTTGTGTGCACACCAGACCAAGAATGTGCCCAAAATGGGCAGTGCCAATGCTGTTTATCTCCATGAATAGGGAGGAAATGGGAAATTTGAGTATCTCAGTGCATATCTAAGGCTGTGTCTCAGCCATTAACTGGGCACAACTCACGACATTGGAGCATGGCCCTGGTTTGCAGCCAGTGCAGTTGGACACCAAACACAGCCATGTTTAACAAGGGAGAAGAGGTTTTGCCCACAGAATGTGAGGCTGACACAAGAACAGCCAAAGAGCAGCACCGATGGAGAGGCAGCTGCGGGTCTGGGATGAGTCACTGTTGGGGTGCAAGAGTTGAGGCTCTCCAGAGGTTCATTTCTCCTCGTCTCTGAGGAAGTTTGGGCAGGGGGTGAGGCAGAGTGTTCACACAGGACCACCTGCAGCACCTCCAGTCCCTCGGGTGGCTCACAGAGGTGGGACCTGTCAGGGCTGGGGAGCTGCAGCTCTGTGGAACCAATGTCAGTGCGTGGTGACCCACCATGGGCTTTGCTTTCCAGGATTTCTTGACTGACCTGATGATGTCTGAAGTTGATCGCTGTGGTGAGAATGAGCATCTCATTTTCAGGGAGAACACACTGGCCACCAAAGCAATTGAAGAATACCTGAAGCTGGTGGGGCAGAAATACTTACAAGATGCCTTAGGTACGTACAGAGAGGCTCTCCAGGTGCATGGTGGGGGTGTCAGCTGAGCCCTGATGGCCATCAGAGCCCTCAGCGTTTCCCTGCTGAAGGTTTCCCTGGCAGCAGGTCCGAGCCTGGGCACGGCCGTGGCCGCAGTGGGCAGCGCCCCATGCCAGGTGAAGGTGACTGCAGAGCTGGCACCTTCATGTGCTTTCAGAGCAGATCAGCAGTGGCTGCTGGCAGGGACTCTGCTGCCTGCCAGGCTCCTGTCTCAGCCCTGGCTCTCAGGGGCTGATTGAATCTCCCCCAGCAGATTTGTGCCCGGCTCCTGCAGCGCTCCCGAGTCAGATGAGATCTCCCCAGCCACAGTGATGCCTCCCAGGGCATCCAGCACTGGGAACCCTCCTGGTGGTTTCTTTTTCCAAGTGCTGGCTGTTTATGGCTCCAAAAATACTTCTCTTGATGCAAATGAAAATAATTAGAAGCTTCTGCTTCTGGGCAGGTCAGGAAGGAATTGCTGCATGCAGGGAACACAGCACGAGGATGGGGAGAGGCTGCCTTGGAAGCTCTGTGAGCTTCCACTGGATCCACATCCCAGGGCAGGATGAACAGGGTTTCTATTGAGGTGTTAATTTTTCAGCATGTTGGGTTCCTGCTAGTGGATTTGCATAATTTTAGCAAGGAGCAGAGAAGCATAAATACTTTATTAAGAGAATAATAATAATAATGAAAATCTTGAGAAAAGGAAAATAGTTGAGCAAATTCAGGCAGAGAGCCCACAAGAATAGCAAAAGAAATATTACTTATTTCTGCCTTGTAATGCTTTCTGGTTGAAGGCAAGTCTGTAAGGAGATTACTCATAAAAATTCTCAAAAGCCAGGAGATTAATGATATCAGAGAATTTTGAAATATTCCTTTTTGGGGGCTCAGTGCTGCCAGGCCAGTTCCATCTCGTGCAGGAGGAGCCCGGGGTTCCTGCTCCCTCTGGGGTGCGGGTTCTGAGTGACCTTGTCCCCGGGAGATGAGTCACCTGCATGTCACAAGGTGCCCCAGGGCAGCATGGCACTGTCCTTGGAACCATGGAGGGTGATGGGGCCGGGGAGGAACAGCAGGCATCACCTGCAGGCGAGCAGAGCTGCTCCAGAGCTCCCTGGCAGAGCTGAAAATACTCTGGAGAGGCTCTCCAGTATGTAATTAAAATTTGTTTTGGCAATAGGGAAGGAATGCAGATTGGAGTGGGGAAAAAACAGAATGGGAAAATCCAAGACAGTTGGGAATTAGGAGCAAACCAACTGGAATGAGAAGAAAACCAAAGCAAACCATTCTCCCAGAACCTCCCAGAACGTCACCCAAGCTAAATGCTGCCTCCTCATCCCTGTCACCCTGTCCCCAATGTCCCCAGTCACTGCTGGGAGGAAGGACTGAGCCCCCAACCCTGAGTGCAGGGGCTGTGCCCAGGTACCCTGTGGTGAAAGGTGGCACAGGAGCAGAAGCTGATGGAGCAGCTCAGTGTGAGCCTCTGCAAGGGTGAGGAGGAGCAGCCAGGCAGCAAAGAGGAGCACAGGAAGACTCAAAGAAATATTTTAATTTCATTTTATGTGATGTTCAGCTCAAAATAAGCCAAGTAATTTGTTTCTTTCCTTTAATTACCTCTTTCTCCTGTGAATCACAGTGGTTTGTCAGCACCAGGGCACAGGCTGCAGTAGCAGGCTGTGCTACCAATAATTACAGGGCCTGCCAGCATCCTTCCTCCTGGATGAGCCCCAGGGAGTGTCTGGGGGGCCAGGCAGGTGCTGGGCAGTGCAGCCTGATGCAATACCCCAGAGGCACAGGCACAGCTCTGCCAGCTGGGAACAGGGAGGGGATGTGCTGGGTGAGCTGTGCTGGGCTCTCCTGGGCCCTCTGGGAGACATGGAGAGCCAGGGAGCTGCAGGGCACCACCTGCTCTTGTGTTCCTCTCATCTTCCCCCAGTGTGATGGGCTGCCAGGGGCTGCTCGGGCACTGGGGCTTAGGAACGGAGCTGCTTGAAGGCTGCACTTGTCATGTCTCCAAACCCATCACCAACTGTTTTACAGGGGAGTTCATCAAGGCACTGTATGAATCAGATGAAAATTGTGAGGTGGATCCCAGCAAATGTTCATCTTCGGACCTCCCCGAACATCAGGGCAACCTGAAGATGTGCTGTGAGCTGGCCTTCTGCAAGATCATCAACTCCTACTGGTGGGTATCCCTCCCCTGGAGGGCTGTGTCTGCAGGAGCTGGGACCTTCTGTGGCTCTGGCAGAGCTGTGCAGGGGGAGCTGCCACAGTCTGGACTGTCTGCTCTGGGCATGTGGCACCCTCCCAGCCTCTCTGGCACCCTTCTTTTCAGAGGTGCCAGGGTCACTGGGGCACAGGGACAGGGCAGTGGAGGCAAGGAGCACCAAGTGAGATTGATTCAGAGGTGCTTGATGCCAAATGTGTATGAAATTCTGGAATAAAAGGCAGAGATGCATGTCCTGGATCTCCCACCCATGGACCAAGTCAGTCTGGAGGAGACTGACAGATCTCACCTCCAGGAGCATCCGGCAAAGCTCGGAAATGCTGCAGCAGGCAGGGGCTGTGGCACCTGTGAGGAGCTGCCCCAGCACAGGCAGCTTTTGTGGGGCAGATGTTCTCTGGGTGCAGTGCTGGGGCTGGAGGAGGATGCTGTTCTCCCTGCTTGGCTCAGCGCCCCACATTCCTCTGGGTTAACCCATCTCTGCCAGCCCTGGGCGGTTGCTGGGCGATGGGAGCCCTTTGCCTCCTTGGCCCAAGGCCTGGTATGCAGCTGGAGGCATTTCCCACTTGTTTGTTCTCAGGGTGAAGGTTCTTGCTACTGGTTGGGACAGGCCCGAATCTCCCACGTGGGCTGGTGAGAGGCACTGGATCCTGAGGAGGTGCTTGTTTGGCACTGCTGAGCTGGGAGCCAGGAGTGCCTGGGTCTGTGACAGCTGCTGCCTGCAGAGGTGACCTCAAAGGGGAAAAAGATGGACTTGGGACTTTCTTTACTTGGAGAAAGAAATAATTTATTTCTGCTTTTTGCTAGCATACCCAGTCTTTGGTCCTTATCATGAGAGAAGGAGCATTTTTGTCTCACTGCTGGATTTTCAGCCTTTCTGCTTAAAATCTGGGCTTAGTTTTTATTAATGTATTTAGCAGCAACACTGTTGTTGCAAAGCATCAACAAGGGATAATATTGGAGGAAGGAGGTCTTTGATAACAAGGATTTCTTGTTTCTCTCCTCTCCTAACCATTGTGTTGAGGTCAGAAAACTTATTATAAATAATCTCCCAAGATACTGAGTGTGCTCTCCTGGAAGCCAGGAAGGGAACTGATCCTGCTCAGGGGGAGAGCAAGGAGCAAGAGGCTTGCTCAGGCTGCCATTATCTACCACAGGTACACAAAGGGCAGGTTCTTTGCAGGTATCCCATTCCTTATCCTTGGCCAATTAATAACTCTGACTGAGGAATGGTATTTACCTGCTCTCCCAGGAGGGATTCACCACTTCTAGTCAGCAGTGGATCATAATGGCTTGAATGAATGTCTTCCTAAAGATATCCAAAGCAGCACTCAAAGGTCACTCTAAAAATAGGCTTGAAAAGTGACCCAGGGAAAGTCAGGAGTGCACAGGAAGTTTGTTCCTCTCATGCTGCCTTTCCAAGGAGGGCTGGAGCAGCTGAGCTGCTGCTCTGAGTGGTTCCCCCCGAGTCCTTTGAGCTCAGCGGTTCCTGGGGATTAATTGGGCTGATGAGTGTTGGGATTGGCCAAGGTATCCCAAGAGCCAACGATCCCGCTTTAAATAGAGCACTGGAGAGTGTGTGCTCATCTGTGCAGAGAGTCAGGGAGAGGAAAGAGGTTCACAATAACCGAAAATTGTTATAATTATGACATAATTTGGACATCTGGAAAGTTTCAGTGTAAGCAGAATTTCAGCATGTGGAAGCTCGTTACTGGGAAGTTGGGTAATGAATTACGGGCCCGTTTGTCACATAAAGCCAACGATCCGGGTTCCATCCGCTGTGACACAATCAAACTTCCAGGGCTCAGCCTGTGACGGGAACGTGCGGGTGCTGCATCTCAGGGGTTGCTCTCCAGTCACTGCACAACCTGTCCTGATCATTCAAGCCTCAAATTGCTTAAAGGATTCTCCTGTTTCTGGGCAAATACCATGAAGTGAAAGGGTTTTGTCCAATTGTGTGGATCAAGCCAAAGACAGAATAGAATTAATCCAGCCAAAGACACTGGCTAATGTTATTTGTAGAGCTCAGGGTAAAAAAGCTCATGGGGGTGAAAGTGTGAATGCAGCACAGAGCAGAAGCTGAACAGGATGGCAGCATTTTCCAGGCACTTGCATGGAGTGTCATCGCTGTGTCAGAAGGTCAGATGGCCTGGAATGGAGCCTGACCCCCCCTCAGTTGCTGTGGTACCCCCACTGTCAGGGAACAGCTCTGGGTGTGACACAAGGATGGCGGTTCCTGGCCTGGGCACTGGGATCTGTGTGCCAGGGACACTGGGACCAGTGGCCAGCCCAGTGCCAGCCTGCTTGTGGGTGGGAGTCTCCAGCTGAATAAATAACACATGCTGGGAACAGGATGAGGTGGGAGCAGGGAGCTGGGGAGGGCCGAGCAGGAACAGGCAGCAGCTCTCCAGAGATAAGGGCTGCTGCAGTGAGCGTCTGCTGCCCCCAGGGAATTCTGGCATCCGGGAAAGGCAGGCTGAGGTCTGTGCAGCTACAAGGCTGGAGTAACTCCGGTGGGGCTCTGTGTTTGTACCAGGCACAGTGGGATTTGATCCAGGTGCTTGAACAGGAGTATTACAGTTTACACAGCCCCCCTGCAAGCTCCAGCTGTGCCAGAGATTCCAGTGCTGCTGGTGATCCTTCAGGCGATGCTCTCCTTGCTGGCTAAGCTTCCTCCAGCTCAGAGTACCCCATGGCACAGCCACTGAGTGCTGAAGAGCTTCTGTGCACAGTTTGTTTCATATCCCAGTCTCCCCAGTTTTCTGGGATCTTTGCATCCAGCATCAGGTCCAAGAGAAGCTGCTTCTCTCACAACTTTACAAAGCAGCTTTGCTTTTTCCCCTAGGTGGTTTCAGACTCCTGACACTCCAGCCCTGACAGACACTGCCTGTCCTTGTGTCATTTCAGCGTCTTCCCAAGAGAGCTCAAAGAAGTTTTTGCCTCGTGGAGACAGGAGTGCAGCAACCGAGGCCGGCCCGACATCAGCGAGCGGCTGATCAGCGCCTCGCTGTTCCTGCGCTTCCTGTGCCCGGCCATCATGTCCCCGTCCCTGTTCAGCCTGCTCCAGGAGTACCCCGACGACCGCACCGCGCGCACCCTGACCCTCATCGCCAAGGTCACCCAGAACCTCGCCAACTTTGCCAAGTAAGCCAGGCTGTGGGCAGGGCAGGGCTGGGGAGGGACAGACTCCGGCTGCGTGGGCAGAGCCACGGCGCCAGCACAGAGTCCCACGCTTGGCCACTCCTCCTCGCTGGAAAGGGCCTGTTTGCTTCCTGTTGGCTTTTTCCCCACATCTCTCTGGGACTTGTTCCCTCGCTGTCAGGTCAGGGAGATCATTCAAGTTTCCAAAACAGGACATGTTTTATGAGCAGGAAAACAGGCTGTTTTGACCACGTGGACAAGCAGCGGGGGTGGCAGTGGGGACTTTGTCCTATGATATCCTGCAGATGCAGGACCAGAACCTGATCAGCAGCAGTGATGTGCTCGGCTCAGGAACTGTTCCATCCCTCCTTTGAGCTCTGGGACCTTCCCTGCTATTAAAATGCAGCTGATTGAACTGGGAAGGGCTGAAAACAGAGACACCATCAATTTCTAACTAAGCCCATTGGTTTGATGGAAACAAAGCGAGAGATTTCTGAAAATCTTTCCACTGGCTGTAGCTCTGAGCTACTTATCCTGAGCTCTGATAACAAAATGATGAGCTTTCTGAAACATGAATGGACAGTTTCTATCTAAAGCTCCTTAGATCTGGAAACTGGCTTAGTGCTCACACTCACAGTCAGCGACGCACAGGCGCGCCTGCGGACACCGGCAGGAGATGTACAAGTGTGTTACACTAGATGACAGAAATTCTCTGTATTCCTGACCAATCCCTAACTAAAGGGTTTTCATGTTTCCAGCACTTTGCAGGAAAGGCTCTTTAACTAAGCTGACATTAGTCAAGCTGAAGTGATCAAGCCAAGCTGTCCTGTGCATGGCACAGGGCCAGGCCTGTCCCATGGAACCGCTGGCACAGCACCAGCTGCTGCCAGGACAGTCCAAGCACAAGGCCCTCCCTGTTGTGCTCTAAATCAGACAAAATGCTGAGGGTGAAGAGCTTGGAGGGCAGAAGGAGGTGGCAAGAAGCCTGAGGGGACAATGGGGCTGGCCCAGCTTGCAGGGGTGGCTCTCCAGGGTGATCCCAGAGCAGTTGTGCTGGCATTGCTGGGGAGTGCAGGATTCCTGCCCCCATCTGTCACTGGGCTCCAGTCAGCTGAGGGTGATTGCTGTGACAGCATCTTGATTTCCAGTGACAGGTCCTGTTTCTGGAGGCTGTGCCCTGACCCAGCAGTCAGACACTGGGTTACCAAGAACTCCTTTGTTTCTCCTGCTTTCACCTTTGTTCCTGATGTGCAGATCCCACACTGATGAGGGCTTAGTTGGATCAGGCTGGGGTTAATTTTGGTTCCACAGTCAGTGAGGTGTCCCAGGTGCCTGCTCACAGCCCAGGGATCCCAAAGGCTTGGAAGGGTTGAGGTGGCAGAGGAAGGTTCTTAGCTGTGTTGTACCTCCCCTTTCCAAGGACTGCAGTTTTTTTCCTGATTTAGCTGAAATCTGTGTTGCTCTCTCAATAGGTTTGGCAGCAAAGAGGAATACATGTCCTTTATGAATCAGTTCCTGGAACATGAATGGACTAACATGCAGAGATTTCTCCTGGAGATTTCCAATCCTGAAACCATCTCAAACACAGCTGGCTTTGAGGGCTACATTGACCTGGGCCGGGAACTGTCCACATTGCACTCACTACTCTGGGAAGTCATTTCCCAGCTGGAGCAGGTATCCAGGGGATGGCAGGGGCAGCTTTGGGGATGGGAAATGATGGAGAAAATGGTGTTCATGTGATTCTCTGAAGAGACTCTCCAGCAACTGGCAAAGCCCATAGCTCTCGAGCAAAAATCACAAGATGGTGGTGGTAATTGTTCTCTCTTTCTGCCCAGGGCACTGCCACCAAACTGGGGCCTCTGCCCCGGATCCTGCGGGACGTCAACGCCGCGCTCAGTAACCCGGCCTGCGTGCAGGTGTCGGTCACGGCCGAGCACGCCGCCTCCACACCCAGTGCTGGCAACAGCATCTCTGCAGGGCTGCAGAAAATGGTCATAGAGAATGACTTATCTGGGTAAGAGACCAGCGGGGCCTGGCCACACACAGGGACACATGGGACAGGCAGGACAGGGTGCAGCTGATCCACTGACCAGGCTCTCCCATTGCAGAAGCGGTGCTGGATGTAGTTCACTGCTCAGCGGTGATTCACACACACAGTCACCCACATACTTTCTGGCCTGATTAAGTAAGGAGCTTCATTCATGGGGAGGATGAGGCTTTTGCAAACCTCTAATATTTCTGTTTGTGGAAAATGAAATGGAGCCCACACAAACGGAAAGCCTGTGCTAGTAAAATAGTTTGTAAGTGGAAACTGCATAATATTTAACAGTTTAATTAGGAATGAAAGGCAGCAATGGCACTGGACTTGCTCTAATCAGAGCTTTCATCTCTAGTGCCTCCCAGCATGAGGTGCAATTATTTAAATCCAATGCTATGGAGGATCTCTGACAATATGCTTCCCCTCCAATACTTGCTTACAATGCACCATCTTTGATCAGCAGAATATTCACATAAAGCTACTGCAAAGCTCTTTCTTCCTATCCCCAAGAAATCAATATTGCATGAATGTGCATTGCAGCAGGAGTGGGGGGATAACCTTGAGCTGCCAGGCTTTAGCTCTGCTGTGTGGGCACTCACTGACCTGGGAGGCCTGGTGTGGACCTGGCTCCTACAGTGTTCTGTGCTGTCCAGATCCTTGCCAGTGTGCCCGCAGGAGCTTGCTGCCCAGGTACAGAGCAGGCACATGAACTGGCATGGAGACAGCCACCTTTGGGAGCAGGCAGGGTGCCACACACTGACCCAGAGCACAGCAGCCCCCAGGAGTGTCCCTGAGCCTCATGACAGTGCAGTGCCCTGCGTGCACACACTGCCCTCACTCACCTGCCCTCACCTGCCCGTTCCCAGGCCAGCCTGGGGCTCCACAGCACCCTCCCCACTCCTCACGCTGTCCCTGGCTGAGCCAGCCCTGTCCCTGCTCCTGCCAGGGCTGGGTCCTGTCTCTGTCCCCATCCCTGTCCCACACAGCTGCGCCACCTTGATTTCTGAGTGATTTCGTTTTCCTGCTCCGGTGCAGCATTCACAACTCTTCTTTTTTGTTTTGTTTTCCTCTCCTCTTCTTACGCACTGACTTCCCCGCAGTCTGATAGATTTCACACGGTTACCATCTCCAACCCCTGAAAACAAGGACTTGTTTTTTGTCACAAGGTCTGCTGGGGCCCAGCCCTCGCCTGCCCGAAGCTCCAGTTACTCAGAGGCCAATGAGCCCGACGTGCAGATGTCTAATGGCAGCAAGAGTTTGTCCATGGTGGACTTGCAGGACAATCGGCTCTTGGACAGCGGGGCCAACGCGCCCGGCACAGCCGACTCGCTCAATGACAGTCAGTCGTCCCTGGGGCAGTTGCAGGGCGTTTGGAGCACACGGACTCAGCAGAACAGCGTGACGGGCATGGCCACCGTGCGCCGCGTGGGCCAGACCCCCACCACGCCGAGCGGCGAGAGCGCGCCCGGCCGGCCGCAGCTGCTGGCGCCGCTGTCCTTCCAGAACCCCGTGTACCAGATGGCCGCCGGGCTGCCGCTGTCCCCCCGCGGCCTGGGCGACTCCGGCTCCGAGTGCCACAGCTCGCTCAGCTCCCACAGCAACAGCGAGGAGCTGACGGCCAACAAGCACGGCTTCGCCGGCCCCGCCGCCAGCGAGGACTTCTCGCGCCGGCCGGGGGAGCTGGCGCGGCGGCAGCTGTCGCTGACCGAGAAGGGCGGCCAGCCCACGATGCCGCGGCAGAACAGCGCGGGGCCGCAGCGCCGCATCGACCAGCCGCCCCCGCCGCCGCCGCCCGTCAGCCGCGGCCGCACGCCACCCTCCCTGCTGAACACGGTGCAGTACCAGCGACCTTCCAGCGGCAGCATGATGTCCTCATCGCCCGACTGGCCTGGCAGCGGGGCGCGGCTCCGGCAGCAGTCCTCCTCCTCCAAGGGTGACAGCCCCGAGATGAAGCAGCGCACGATGCACAAACAGGTGAGTTCGGGCTGTCCAGGCCCTGGCACTGAAGGGGCCAGGTGGGGTTAGCCCATGGAGATTGCTGCCATGGGAGGGGATGTGGCTCTGAACTGCCACATCAGTGCCAACCCCATAGTGACATCACATGTGGGGACGTACCTCGGCTCTGGCACCTCTGGCCAAGACAGAGGCCCTTCAGGGACAGGAACACAGCAGCGTCCACTCCCGGTGTCCCTCTGCCTCGTGGCACACTGGAGCGTGGTGGTGGTAGGTGGCAGAGGCTCGAGGGCAATGGCAGCCACGCCGCTGTCCTGCGCTACCATCTTGTCACTGCTTTGCCTGTCCATGCCCAGGCTCTCATCCCATGCCATAGCCAACCCTGTGCCATCCCCCAGGCTTGGAACAGACCCTGATCTCCTGTACCTGAGAGCCTCCCTGCTGCTGCTCCATCCCAGGGATCCAGGGCACTCCTGCACATTCCTGTTTGCTCTGTGAGACCCTCCCGCAGGAGCAGGGAGGAAGGAGCCCAGAGCGATGTTCCTGCTGGGATCCCAGTCCCAGACCACGTGCTGGGCTGCACAGAATTCCACCCCACTGTCCGTGGAGGTAAAATGGAAGGCAGTAGGTCACAGGCCTAAGGCCCTGTGGATGTCCTGCCATGGACAAATGGTTTTTATAGTGCTCATTTATTCACTCTGCATTTCAAAACCAGCCCTACAGAACATAATCACAGTAAGAGCTCTGTGCCTAAAGAAGAGTTTTTAAAGAAAAGCAAACACGGAGACTGGACAAGCAGCAAGAGCCCACTGCACCCAGACCCTGAGTTAGCTCAGACCCTTCTCCAGCCCTCAGTGTTGCTGTGTGTGCCTCTCTCACACAGCAGCTGTGGAGCCTGGTCCGTGCTGCCCATGGAAGGTTGTTCGTGCTCCCATCTGGGGCCGCTCCGTGATTCCGGTATCGATCCGTAAACGGCATTAGCAGCAGCAGCCTCTGTGTGACACAATCAATGCTCATTAGGGACAGAGGGCACAGAGCTGTGCAAGGAACAGAGGCCTGGATGTAGCAGGGTTTCTCCCAGAAAAACAAGGATTCTCCAGGTGGCCATCAGAAGGCTCTGGCCAGGTTCTCTTCACAGAAGATTCCTCCACCCACACCTGTGGTCTTCACAAAGTTTTTCTTCAGACTTGAAAGTCTCAGAATGCCTCTCCCACCCTCACTCTGCACGTTTTATTTGCATATTGGCAGCATGAAGATGTAGCCACCAATGCTCATGAGCCAAGTCTGATGCTTCTCAGTCATAATTCTGGAGGTAGAAGACCAGACTGGAAGATGGCATGGGAAAGCCCCTGACCCCAATGAGGAAATGAAACCATTCCCCACTCCTTCTGACACAGAACCTCCTGTTCTGCTGCCCTACAGTGACTGGGTTTCTAGATCCAAAGGCTGGAACGATGGAGAAGATTTCTGACATTTCTGATTTGTTAACTTGAATTCTCAAGTCATTAACTTGAATGACCAAGGCATGCAGATCCCATGTGTTCATCTCACTGTTTACTGCAGCTTATAACAAGGCAGGATGGAAGGAAAATAGCTGAAGAGTGACTTCCTTGTGTTGTGGTTGGAAAATATTTAGGCAGTGGCACTGGCAGTCCCTGCCCAGGCCAGGACTGAAAGCAGCAGACGTGGCTGTAGCTCACTGACCATGGAACATCACAAGTAAGTGATACTGAGCATTCAGACCTCTTCAGCATCCTCAGTGCAGCCTTGGCTGAAAAGAAACTTTTCTTCTCCAAGAAGGCACCTGCACAGTCATAAGGAGAGTTTCAGTTTTCAGATCTTGTTTTATGAAATCCATGGAAGCAAAGATGGCTCATAACAAGATGAAGATTTGACAGAACTTTGCTCATGGAGTGAAAATACCACATCTAGCCACTCTGCTCACCTGCAGGATCTGCTCAGACACCGGGGCCATGACTTGGAGCAGGTTCCACTGCTTGACCCAAAATAATGTCCATCTGCAGAACAGGAGTTGTTCCTGCTCCAGCCCCAGCTGCTCTGGTAGCTCAGCCTGGCTCGTTGCTGTCTGAGCAGCATGGGAGAGGGTCTGCTTGGAAGGAAACTCTCTCTCTCCAGCTTCATGACCATTTGTGTTACAGGTTTTTCTTTTGTCATGGTTGTATCATTGTTTCATTGTAGGCCCCTTCTCCTGTGAACCCCAATGCCCTGGACCGCACTGCTGCTTGGCTTTTGAATATGAACATGCAGTTTTTAGAAGATGAAAGCATTGACCCAGATTCCAAGCACAGGGATAAGCTCAGGAATAAGGACGAGCTCAGCCAAGCAGAAAAGGTAAAACCTGATTGGATTGAAACAAGTTTCTGAATAGAGAGAGGATTTCCTTGAATGTTATCCCCTGAGCACCCTGGGGAGAAGGTGGGCTGTGTGCAGGTCCCTGTGCAGCAGAGGGGCCAGGTTGCTCCCTGTCCTACTCGGCCTCCCAGGGATCTTGTGGGGAACGTTTGGGAGGCTTTCACACCCTCAGTGACTGGAGTCACCTTCTGATGAAAGCAAGTAAGAAACACAGGAGCCAGGAATCGAGTGCTGATGCTGCCCTAAAACAAATTCTGCAGCCAGCCAGTGCCTCTCACTCTCCCCATTCCAAGTCACCCAGCTGCTGGGAAAAAAGATTAAAAAAGGGATTTAGCACACCTGTAACAAACATGGAGTAAGGCACAGGCAGCCTCCTGCCTCACAGCAGGAACATGGAGCAGGAAGCAGCTTCCATGTCAAAAAGCTGTTCACAGACCTAAAATTAAGTCCAAATTTTGGTCTCAGAGACAGCACTGGTGCCTGGGGTGACTTTGTGGCACTTCCACAAGGTTATGGCAGTGTCACACACATCAGGACCTGGCCAGTCCAGGGGTCTGCCAGGAAGCCACGTGCAGAGTATTCAGTCTTGGCCCCTGGGCACACGGAGGCTCTGTGCCTCTGAAGCAGAGGGGTGCTGCTCCCTTCCCCTCCTTCCTGGGCAAGTCTGGGGTGGGAAAAGCTGGGAAGTGACAAAGTAGGCCTGGCAAGGATGAAAAAGAGGGATAAAAATGAGGATCCAACAGTCAGAATCTGGGAAAATCCCATCTTTGCTAATTGCTGCTTCTGCAGGGTTCTTTCTCAGCAGCTTGGCTCTGCCAGGATTGTGGCAGTTGAGCATCAAGAGCATTTGGGATGTTTCCTCAATGTGCTTCTCTTCTATCACACCAGCACTGCAGACATCATCCCTCCCTCAGCCCTTACTCTGTTTCCCAGCACAGACGTGTCTCTGGCTTCGTTCCAGTAGCCTTCCTGTGCTCATTCTGCTGTGCTGTGTCATTTGGGGGCTGTCACCTCTTAAACCCCAGGAAAATGCTGAGGGCAGGTGGTGTAGGAGCCAGGAGGTCCAAGGCAGCAGCTCCCAGCTGCCCCAGGAAGATCAGGGCAGTTTTGTGGGTTCCGCCCATGCTGCCTGGGCACAGTGGTGGCGTTACAAACTCTGATGGCACTGCAGCATCCCCAGTGCCTGCCCCAAGCCCAGCAGGAGCCCCCCCAGGCTGTCTCATTGCCATGCAGCATCTTCCCTTACTCTGCTGTCCCATCAGTCACTGACATTCAAGATCACCATTAGCATAACCTCTCTCCCCATCACTGTAAGACCCGAATGGTAACTGAGAATGAGACAAGTGTTCTAGAGACAGGAGCGACTCCTTCGGGCTCTGAGGCCTCTCCTGCTCTCCTCTGAGCTCACTTACGCTGCTCCTATTTTAAGGCTAGGGTAGGTATTTAATCTTTCCTGTTCAAGCAACTCCCTGCTGTCTGACTTCAGTGCTACTGTGCAGCTTTGTTCCCTCATTGCTTCAGGTTCCGTGTGCAAGCCCTGCCGTTGCTGTGCTGCAGTAAGAGCTTTGCTAAAGGAAAACCGCCTCACTCCAGTACTTTTGCAGTTCAGGAAACCATCAGCTTGCTAAGTTTTCAATCCTCTGGAGCTGCAGTTATTTTTGCAGTGCAGTGCTGTAAAAGTATTTGCAGTTATTTTTGAGTGGGGTGCTGGTCAGTCCCCAGCAGCAGCCTGGCTGCCCTCCCCTCTCCCTAGGGCTGCTCTGGAGTCCCACAGTCCAGGAGGACTCTCAGAGCTGGGACATGACCCAGCCCATCATTGCAGGGCCTACCCAGCTATGATGGCCAAAGGGGAAAGGCCAAGTCAAGACACAACAGAGTGCACTTCTCTCAGTTCATTAATTGTAGCTTTAACAGCCTTCATGACTCAGATTGAAGCCTTTTTTCTGTATCTGATTTAAAAGCAACGTGCTACATTATCAGCTGCATGTTAATTATTCTAAAGTTATTGCAGTTGAGATGCTTTTTTAAAAGACTATGTCCAAATATAATTTTTTGAAATTAAAGCAGTTTTCTTGTGCACACACTCACTGGATTTTCCTTTAGCAAAGCAAGTTTACTGAATGCTGTGCTGCCGCAATAGCTGAACCCAGTTTTACCGAGTTCAAAAGCTCTTAATATTTTTAATTGCTTGATGTAATTCTGCTGCTGATTTATAGCTTCACCCAAATGAACAGTACAACTGTGGGGTCTTGGCTTCATGCAGCAGCTCTTCTTGGACTGAACCCTGGTTTGATGTCTGAGTTAAATGCTGGGCCCCAGAAGGGAGCAGTGCTCTGTGCCCTGCTCAGCCAGCACGGTGCCCTTGGCTCGATGAAGGGTGCTGAGACCGCAGTGTCCTGCATCTGTCACTGCCCCTCGTGCCTGGCACCCAGCCCAAAGCCCCCCCGTTTATTGCTGCAGACTGAAGAGCTCCTGCGTGAACCCCAAACCCCGCGCTGCAGCCTCCCTGCCCGTGCGAGCCCCGCGCTGGCAGTGCGAGAAGCTGCCGCCGCCTTTGCCAGGCCCGCTCTAACCTGCATTTCCCCTGTGAAATGCCAGACTCTGCTAACTGCCCACTCTGTGCACCTGCCAGCGAGCTGCCCGCCCCGCGGACCCGGCATCGCCCCCGGCGCCGCGGACGAGACGGAAGAGGAGGTGTCGGCGAGCGGGGTGTCCGATACGGGTTTGCAGCTCTAGTCTGATACACGGACAGGGGCTGAGCGGGCTTGGGGGAAAGCCTGGCCAGGGCAGACCCTACGAGGTAACGTGCCACGTGTGTTCTCTCCTCCTGTGTCTGTCCCTGCGCCCTCAGTACCAGCAGGACCTGGTGGTGCTGCAGGACAAGCTCCGCATCTCCAACAAGAAGCTGGAGGAATATGAGACTCGCTTCAAATGCCAGGAGGAGACCACGCAGAAGCTGGTGCTGGAGTACCAGGCCAGGCTGGAGGAGAGCGAGGAGCGGCTCCGGAGGCAGCAGGAGGATAAGGAGATCCAGATGAAGGGCATCATCAGCAGGTACAGGGAGATGGAGTGCTGGGGATGGCAGTAGGGCAGGGCAGCCTGGCTGGCATTAGAGCTCACCCCTTCTCAGGAGAGTCAGGATTCTTTGGAGGTGCAGGCAGGTTTCACATATGGGTTTTCCCCTCAGTGTTACCTGGGACAAGGAGAACCCCGATGTTTTCCTGATGCACAAAGGCAGAACTTCAGGAGGGGAGAGTTTGGAGGCTCTGGCAGACTTGTTCTGTTCATAGAGCTGTGGCTCTCATCACCATCTCTTACCTGTAACTCTAAATCCCTTTCTCCCACCCAGTGGGAAGTGGTTTACACTGGTCCAGGGCTGTTTCAGTGCAGCAGGTTTCACCTTTACCTGAGCCAAGCCCACTTAGTCCTTTCAGTCAGCCCTCACCACTGGGTCAGCCTTTGCTGTGCTGTCACTTCAGCTTTTGGGGCTCCCTGCTAGAAGGAGCTCCTGGGAAGAGTGAGAGTCAAGAAAAAAAGCTTGGTTTGTGGATAAGAGAAGGCAGAGTGTGAGTGTAATACCTGGGTTTAGCAGAGCCCAGCCAATGTAATTTTTCCTTGTGTGCTCGGCTCCCAGACTGATGTCGGTTGAGGAGGAGTTAAAGAAGGACCACGCTGAAATGCAGGCTGCTGTGGATTCCAAGCAGAAGATCATTGATGCACAGGTGAGTGCCCCGTGCCAAAGGCTGCTGAGGACACGGTGGCTGTCACAGCTGTGTGCAGCCGTGGAGCGTGGCACAGAGGGCGTGGGGTGGCAGTCTGGGGAGGGACCATGCCCACAATTTAGTGAAAGGATCCCATCCCCTGGAGCATTGCTTGGTGCTTCATGTCCCAGTAATGCCTGGGTCATCAGAACCTGGACACAAGGAACACACAGCCTGCCCACAGCCAAGCCTTTGGATTGTGATTTGCAGGATTGGGAAGCTCAGGTACTGCAGTCAGTAACAGTGGAAGAGGAGCATCACATGATGGATGCAAAACACTGTGCTTGGAAAAGAGAATATAAAAATACAGCCCATAATCTTTTAGGTTGTCTAACAGAGACACCATGTCCTCACCAACCAGGCCTCCCTACAGCTTGTGGCTTGGAAGTGATAGTATATTCTGGCCTTACACTTAACAACCCTATTGATCACTGCTTGGGACTAATTCACTGTAGAGCTAATTAAAAAGAAGACAGTAGTAATTTTGTAAAAAAACCCCAGCTTTTCTGGGGAGGAATTTGTTCAAAGCTGCTAAATCATCCATCCTGTTCTGTTCCACACTCCAGCAGAACCGAGCAGAACCTGGGTGTCCCTAAGGTGCCAGTGGTGGTACCTGCAGCCTCCCAGCAGCTCTGGGACCTCCCCCTGTCCCCTGCACCTCGTGGGGTACATGTGAGGTTCTGCCCCTGCACGCTCTCTGCTCTTTCGGTCACCTCAGGCTGCACATGTGTTGGACGTGTTCATTGCTGCACTCAGAGTTACACACAAGCAACTGCTGTGTCCCTGAGCTGGTTCTGTTCTTCTGCTCGTGGCAGTCATAGGAAGATGACATTTGTTCAGTGTCACAAAGAACAGGAGGGGTAGAATCAGGCTGCAACTTGGAAGCTCTTGCTCTCATCCTTACAATGCTGTAATCAGTGAGAGCTGCCATCAAAGACAGCCTGGGAGGCTACAAGTCATTTAAACTATTAATTTATACTAATTAAATACTGACAGGAATACTATCTTGGGAGAGTTTGGGTTTAGAAATGGAATCCTACCATATTTTGTAACAGCTGAGTTAGAACAAACAGTACAGTGTATAACTGAATAATTAGAGCAACTGCGTTACCTCCATTTTCATCAAGATGCTGAAATAAATGTAGCTCACATTGCACAGGCAGGGGATATTTGTAGCCCTGCAGATTTCAAAAAGTGCTGTGTAGCACTTAAACCTCCCCTCCGCCCCCAGGAATGCCAAAGAGAAAGGTCCTGGTCCAAAAGGCCTCGGGGTCACTGTCCTGGGCCGACATCCCAGAGGGACAGGGCTCGTTCCTTCCCACTGACCGTGCCCTCTGCCGTTTGCTTGCAGGAGAAACGCATTGCTTCCCTGGATGCTGCCAACGCACGGCTAATGAGTGCCCTCACTCAGCTGAAAGAGAGGTACAGCATGCAGACACGTAATGGGATCTCCCCCACAAACCCAACTAAATTGCAGATTACAGAGAATGGAGAATTCAGAAACAGCAGTAATTGTTAACGCGCGGAGGGCGCTGCCGCAGGAGAGGCCTGGCCGGAGGGACCGTGCGCAGCAGGCGTGAGCCGCGGCTTCAGAGAACGGCTGCTCCCCGAGCACCAGCTCCTTACTGCGGACGGCGCCGACTGACCCTGCTGGGAGATGTCCTGCCAGCACTTTGAGGGACGGGAATGTCGAGTGTGAGATGAGTGGCATAAGGAAATAACATATATCTGAGAATCGCTGTCACTGGTGGATTTGAGTCAGTGTTTAATGTTCAAACAAAAGTAACCTTTTCCTTCTAAACTGCCCAAAGGATATGCCTCACCCCTCCCAGCAAGGAGTAACGTCCTTGTCATGCAGTAAGCGAAGTAAAGGGAGCTGGGCAGAGCCTGCAGCAGGCAGGGGCCCAGTAGGTCCAGTTCCAGTGTGCTGCTGGATGTAGCGTCCGAGGGGCGGCAGCAAGGCCTGGCCCGCTCCTCCTGTGACTCCCCCGAGCACAGCCCTCCCAAAGTGAACCCCAACCGAGCCCAGCATCCTTCCTGGGGGCTCTAGTGAGGCTGCTGACTTTCACAGCATCCACAGGGCATTTATGCAGCTAATTAGTGTTTGATTAACTCCGCCCATCCAGGGAGCACAGTGCAGATGGAAGGTCAGGCGGTGTGGTGGCCAAAGGGGGGCTGTGTGGGGAGCCCCCGTGGCAGGGGGGCAGGACTGGTGCTGCTGGGGGTCCCTGGGCAGCCCAGGGGCACAGAGCAAGGCCAAGGATGTGGCACAGGAGTGGAGGGAGGAGCTGGCACCTGGTGAATGGCAACTCGATTCCTTTGGACAGCTTCTGCTCTCTCACAAATAAAGGGGAAGAGTTTTGTAAGCAATAGCCCCAGGCATTGTCCCACGCACACTTCCTGCCACAGAATAAAGTGAATGTTGCCTGAGCTTGGTCCCTGAGCTGTGATTGAGGGACAGGGGCTGGATTTGCTGGTGCCTGTTGTGGTAGAGGGGGAGCGAGGGGGCTACGTGGAGTGGCAGCTTCCTGCTTGATCAAGGGTTCATTGTGGGGATGGAATGCTCTGTGCTGAGAGTTTTACTGTTTCTGGGGAGAAAAACAGACAAAGAAACAAGAAAAAGCCCTGAAGAACCATGAAGATCGGTAATTGTATTTCTTTTCTTTCACAGTATGCATTAGAAAAAAAAAGATCCCATTTTCTGGAATACTGTCCTCTTTAAATTGGGAATGAGCACTGCATGGAAATTAACCGGCTTGAAGAATGTAAAACATGGTCATAAGGGAGTAACCACCAAGAACAGCAGCCACCACCGAAAGGCCCCTTGTCAGGAGCACTGTGCAGGCATAAGCCAGGATTAGACTTTCCCAGCTCCGGCACAGACACGCTGAGCTCAGCTGGGCGCCCCTTCAGGGGGGCTGTGCCGCTGACCTGCCGCCACGGGGTGCTCGTGGGTTTGTGCTTCTTGCAGTTAGCCCTTCACAAGTCCCACTCTCAGAGCAGGTCCCTCGTACCGAGAGCCGCAGGTTTCTCTGAGACACGGACAGTGTACAGTGTACAGGACATCTGCCTATGCTCCCTCTAAAGGTTAACACACTGCTCAACGCCTGTCCTAGCTCCTCCTGCCATGTGTAAATGTACAGCCCAAGGGACTAGGACGTTCCCTGAGCTCTGCTCTGCTTAGGTACCGTCTCCAGCCTCACACTTCCCAGGCTGCCTGAGCAGGACACTTTGCCAGTAAGCTCTGCATTGCCGTGCTGCCCCGCAGCCGTAAGGCTCCTTAACAGCATTCTTCCTCATGCAATCGTTTGCAAAATTTAAGATGCTCTTTTTCCTACACGTTTTTCTGGCCCCTGGAAGCCCTGGGCCAAGCCCAGGAGGAGCGAACGTGTTGCACTGAGGTCTCCACACCCCGCCAGCACCTGCCGAGGGGTGCAGCACACAGCAGACCCCAAACGGAGCTCCTCAGAGCAATGTCATAACTCAGTACTTATGGCAAGTACAGTCACCTTTGAATTTTGGAGACTAGCACAGATGGCTTTGAAGAACCTCACAAATCCGACAAGGTTACAACTGGAGAAAGACCCAGACAGGTTAGGAATATACAGGGTACTGTGAACCGTTTGGTGCATAGATTCACACCTGCCACTGTCTCAGTGTCAAATACATAAGAACCCTGCAAAAAAGACTATTTTAAATGCTTTTGCCCTAAGATGCCTGTTTAGAGCTGATTGTTTTGAATTCTAAGTATTTGTGTTGCGAGAGACTGGAGTTTTTCACGACAGAAGTGACATAGAGGAATGGAAACGCTAACAGGGCATGGGGCGGGCGCCCCACCACCGACGTTTCCATTCATACTTGGAAGTAATTTTGGGATGCAGTCAGTGCTCTCCGTAAGAGCTGGAAAAAGAAACACCCACAAGCCAATTGTTTAGTGCTGAAGCTAAGCACAGTACATCTTAATCTTCTCCTCAACCACAAGCCAAGGCACTGCTCCCTCCCCACCCTGATCTGTCACAAACTCCTGATTGCCCTCAAACTTGCAAATTACTGAACACATTGCTCTGCTGAAATAGCAGGAATGCTTAAATCCTTCCACAGCCAGTTATTAAAATCTTAAAAGTTCCAGTGCCAACACTTTCTGGAGTTGATGCTTAGTTTCCAGAGCCAGTACAAAAAGAAATTTAAATCAGGATGAAGTCTCGTTACAGTAGAGATTCCCCCCTGTTTTTCCCTATTTCCTTTTTCTGCAACTGTCAACAACTGGACCTAACCATGACTCTCCCCTAAAAAGGTCTGGGGGCAGGTGTTCAGGCCCAGGCTCAGTTCTGTCCTTCAGTTTGTGTTTCTGTTATTTATAAGCTGTACATTTCTCTGTGTGTGTGCGTGTGTGAGTGCAGGAGCCCCGCGTGTTCCCTGCCATGGCCTCGGAGCTGGTACCTGGCATAGCAATACCTGGATCCCGAGAGGTGCTGCAGCACCAGAGCAAACCACACTGTCCCCAAGGTTTCATGAGCGGCTCCATTTCCTTCCTGGTTCTTGCGCTTTCTACAGTGAGAGGCTGTTCTAGTGCAAACTCGTCAAAGTGTAAACAAAGCAAAAACACTCCAATTTTTATCTTAATACAAGTCTTAATTTTTTTTTGTAAATGTTCTCAGTGTTTACTGTACCGTATCTATCTCACTAACAGTTGTATATAGTAACTTACTCCTGGTGCTGCTTATTCGGTCGGGATTTGGCTGTATCTCACTGCTGTGTTGGAGAGGTGGGCTCGGGCTGCCAAATCCGGATCCAGACCCATGTTCTGATTCCAGCCTCCTCCCTCGGGGATCTGAGGGAAGAGAGCAAAGCCATGGATCCAGATTTGTGGTGGGCCCACCTCAAAGATTCTGTTTTTAGAGTTTTGATTTGGGGTTTTGTTAAACTGTAGCGAACACTCCTGAAAAAATGAGCGGGTTTGTGTGAAGGGGGATGAAGGAGACTGAGCGGTATCCCAAGGTCTCTGTGGACTGTAAGTATCATCATCTGGAACAGGGATTGTGGCTTCAGTGCCAAAAGATGGGAGGGACCCCAGTCCTTCCCCATGCCAACTAATAATGCTACAGTGTAGTCACCAGCCCCTTCTGCACCAGTTTAAGCAAATCCTGCCGCCATCCAAAGAGTCCGGTGTCACTTTGCATTGCCATTTGAGTCTGGTTGGTTTTGTTTTCCGCTTTCGCAGCTGTAAAGCACTGATTGCACTGTGAGAACACGTGGAACCCTCTGGTCTGGGAGCCAGTCCCAGAGGTTGCTGCAAGGTTGCAGGACACAGGTTCTGCTACTGTGAATACTCCTAAAGGGCAAAGGGACTTGCTGGACCTCAGTGAGGTGTCACAGGCTCTCCTAGGAAAGCAATCAGCAAGGAATCAATCATTCCCAAAGTTTAGATAGCTCATAAGCTTTTTCCTGTTCCTAATGTCCACACCCAGAGGTAACAGAAAATGTGCTGAGGTCTGTTCTGTGATGGACAAGGAGAGGATTTCCAGTCCCAGATGGCAGATGCATTGATGTGTTCAGCCAGGACAGCCACAGGCTGCAGCCCAGGGGTCTGATCTGAAAGGGGCTCATTTACCCAGCACTCCCAGGGCAGGGGGAGCAGCCCTGGGCCGAGGCCTTTCTGGCAGCAGCCTGTGACCAGTGGGTCCAGCAGCTCCCCCACAGTCCCTGCCCTGTCCCCCACACAGCTCTGCCTGGACAGTACAAAACAAAATCCAAAGGGAACACGTTCTGTGCCACTGTTCCTAGGTGGACACTCCATCCTTCCCACCTGCAGTGGCTGCTGGGGTCACTTCCTCACAAAGGTTTGTGTTCAAAGCAGTCCAGGCTGGCCAGGACTGGGAGCTGGTGTGGGGCAGAGCCACGGCCTCAGGGCCACCAGGAGCTCCCTTCAGTGGCCACAGGAAGGGACAGTCCCTGCCATCCCCAGCCTCTCCCTGAGCCTCAGGGCTGTTTCAGGGGAGACTGCTCAGCCAGAAGGCTCGGCCAGTGCCACCTGCCCTGCTCTGACCCCACACAGACAAACTGCTGCCTTCTCCTTCTCCCTTGGGGAAAATCACCCATGGAGGAGCAGGAGGACAAGAGCAGCACGACAACATGCAGCTCACGGGCTGTCCAAACCAAATCCAATCCTGAGGGCGTTGCACAACATGCAGAAACAACCATGCTTCTGAAAAGGGTGTCACATTCAAGCATTGACTTTCACACATCACCTGAGCTGTGACATTGCTGTAAATGCCATGTGGCTCTGCATCAGCTTCCAGTACCCCAGAGTGCAGCCTCCATGTTCACATATTCCTCTATCATACATCACTGTGTCTTAAGATATACCTCTCTCTGTATATCTGCTTAGGCTGATACTTGTTCCTGATAAGCAGTCGCTATGTTTTATATCCTCTTATAAAGAAAAACAAATCTTTTTTTGTAAGTATGTTTAAAAAACAAAAATGCAAAGTGGAAGTGTTTGCTGAATCTCCTTCAGCTCCTTTTAAACTATGTAATAATGTACAGAGAAAGTTGTTGGTGTTCAAAGAAATGATGTGGCTGTGCAATTTATGTACATTTGCAATTAGAAATATTAAAGATTTATTTAGATATTTTACATAAGTGCTCCAGCACCTCTACTCAGTCATTTCCAGCTTTTAGAGCATCCTGGCACATGCCACATGCACACACAAACCTGTCTTATCTGCCTCCCCAAAGAGATCACTGAAATTTGCTCCCAGTAGAATTTTAGCCCTGACTCCACCACTTTCCCTTCACTTGCTTGGGGGGTGTGACAGCCAGGCCTGCTCCTGTCCCCACCAGTCCTTACAAACCACCCTTCTGCCTCCAGTAAAAGAAAACTTGGAGGAAAGTCATTAAAACCCTGGGCAGCATCAGCACCTCTGCCTCATTAACATAATCTTAATTAGCTCCTCCAGGAGAGGTGGAAGTCAGGCTGGCTGCATCGAAATGAGTGGGGATGTGGAGAGCACCTGTGGCTGTTCCTGTGCTCACAGGGCTGGAGCCGGGCTGGGCACACTGGGCTCCTCCTGTTCCTGTCAGGAACCGGCCCCTGCCCAGGGAGGGAAGCCAAAATCCTCTCCCCAGGGCTCTGCCATCCCCCTCAACACTGTTGGTTTTGAAGGCTGAGAGAAAGAAAAATGCAGCCCTGGAAACACACAGAACCTCTGAGAACGCTGCAAGGAGGGATTAGTCAAAACCACCTTGACTTGAATAAAACCTCCTTAGCGGCTGTTGGGCTTCATTAGAGCAGAGCTGAATTCTCAGCCAAAACCACCCAGAACGTCTCTGTGCTCCTGACAGCTCTCAGCATCTGCGGCTCCGCAGCCCGGCTGCAGCCGCTCCCGTGAGCCCCGGCAGACAGGCAGGGCTGGGAGAGGGAGACTGGAACTGCACATCAGCAGCCAGAGCAGCCGCGGGAGCACGGGGCTGGGAGGCCGAGGAGTGCAGATGTGTTTGCTTGAGGTTTTTAATCTGGAGAGTCATTTTAGCAAAAGGCTCATCAGCAGTAATGATGTTCCAGTAATTGCACCCTGAAAGTACAGGGTTTGTTCTGAGTCCAGTGAGAGTCACCGGCCCATGAGCTGCTCCCGGTGCCAGGCAGCACCTCCAGCACAGCCCTGGCAGCACCCCTGGCAAGGCTGAGGTGCTCCCACCCCATTGTCCCAGCTAAATCCAGCAACAGCTGGCAGCAGGGAGATGTCAGAACTGGGCATCTTCAAAACACAGGAATCCTGCCCACCACAAGTGAGGACAGTGACAGCCAGAGCAGTGGCCACTGACAGCTGAAGAAGGGCCAGCATTAAGCCAATACTTGCCAAGCTGGGGCTGCAGGAGCACAGAAGAGCCTGTTTGCTTTGTCAGTGGGAGGAAGGCAGGGAGGTGCAGAGATGAGGCTCGTACCTAGTGAGGGAAGGACAGGAACAGCTTGTGTTGGCTCCTCCAGTAACAGTCTCTGCTCTGCTCCTGACAAGCATCTTTCCCTCACAGCTTCCCAAGCCCTTCACAAGCAGTCAGCTCCCACTCCACTGCAGTGGGTGAACGTCAGCATCCTTATTTTCACAACAGGGACGTGCAGTAGGAGCACAACTTTCCCAAGGCCTCCCAAAAGCTACCAAAGCCAAACAGCTGATTTTCCTTCCGCCCCCACCACCTTCTGCGTGCAGCCATCCCACACACAGCAGCCCAGGCTCCTGAGCAAACATCCTCTGGAGAAGTAATTCAAAGCCAAGCAGTAAACAAACCTCCAAAGCCTTGGCCCCAGAGACGGGAGCGCAGCCGCTCCCTGCCGGAGAGTCAATAACGACAGGAGAGCAGAAAGGAAGGAGCTGGAAGAACAAGAGTCATTAGTGGAAACTTGTTGTTTGTGCTAATTAGATCATTATCTGGAAACTGCTATTGATGTTGCTATTTTAGCTCCTGCTGCTGTTCACAACTTTATTTTATCCACGTCTATTGACTGCCCACGCTCATCCACATCCTGCAGAAAGGGCCGGCAGTGCCGCCCACAGCCAGCCAGGATGGAGATGGTTTGTGTCCCGTGCCAGGCAGCACCTCCTGCCCCACCCTCACCGCAGCACCTGCAGGGTCCTGAGACACTCAGGAAAAATGTTTCCCAGCTTGTCACAATGTGCCCTGTGCTATTATTGATCTTAGTCAGACAGTGGATCGTGTTACCTGGTTATTAAGTGAGAGGAAGAGAGAGGAGGATTTGGACACCTGTAGGATTTCTGCCATTTGCAACCTGACAGCCAGCACAGCCCCTCAGCGCGTAAATGACATTGATGCAGGCCCCATACATGATCAGCTTTCCCCATTGGTGGCACGAGCCATAATTGAATAACCTCAACCATTTGATTTTTGTGCTACATCATCAAGGAGTGAAGCCTGAATAACAGAGCTCCCAAGTTGACTGACTTTGATTTATTACAGTCACTAACTGTTCTTCCTCCTGAAAGCCACAGCCCATCCTCACCCCCTGAGTGAGAAGAGCTGTGTGCTGGGGGACCTGGGCTGATGGGAGGACAAACATGAGGCTCAGCAAACCACACACCAGGGAGCTAGTTTGCCCCCAAAACTCTCATTCTCCCTTTTTCCTCTTTGTTCACCAATGGATCTGAACCTGACCTGCAGAAGGGCTTTTGTATTTCCACTGATGAGGCAAAGGAAGAGGGAAAATTGCATCACATCACCACAACAGGCTTTCAATTTTGTCTTTTACTGCAATTTCATACCACTTTCACACTACACCTGCAGTAAACTCAGCAATGACACAAGTGAACCTAATTCTGCCATCAGAACTCCAAAAAAACATCATCTCCCACAGAGGCAGTTGAGGCAGAGAGCAGGGGACATGGTGTGGGGGCCGTTCCTGAGCACACCGATGTGCCGCATGCCCCCTGGCACTCAGGCTGGTGCCGACAGGCAGGCAGAGCACCGTGCCATCCCGCAT